CAGCCCCTCCACTTGCAAACACCTCTTGGGCTTTGAAGCACGCTCTGCGCGGCTTCAGAAAAAAGAGCGGGGGGGTTGGAGGGGGCTCACACGATGCTTTTCAAGTAGTTTCTTGGGCTTTGAAGCAAGCTTGGTACGACTTAAAAGAAGCGGGGGGGGTTGGGGGAAAACACAGCCCCCCCCCATTTGCAAACACCCTGCTCACATGACGGGCGTCAACAAGTTTCTTGGGCTTTGAAGCACGCTCTGCACGGTTTGAAAAAAAAACGAGGTTTTCGTTGGTTTTTCCTAAGGAAACCCTCTTCTGATTACATTTTGGACGGATTTCGTCAAACGTCAAAGCGTACGTTGCTTTTCCTTAGTTTGTCCTAGGGAAAACCCTATTTGGTTCGTTTTCTTGGTTTCTATCATTCCCTCTATATTTTCATCGGATTCATACTTTTTTTTCAACTAGTTTCTCGGGCTTTGAAGCACGCTTGGTACGGCTTAAAAGAAGCGGGGGGTGTTGGGGGGGGACGCAGCCCCCCCCCCATTTGCAAACACCCTGCTCACATGATGGGTGTCAACAAGTTTCTTGGGCTTTGAAGCACGCTCTGCACGGCTTCAAAAAAGCGGGGGGTTGGGGGGGGGGGCAGCCCCCCCCCCATTTGCAAACACAATGCTCACACGATGTTTTTCAACTAGTTTCTTGGGCTTTGAAGCACGCTTGGTACAGCTTGAAAGAAGCGGGGTTCTGCAAACACCCTGCTCACATGATGGGTTTCAACTAGTTTCTTGGGCTTCGGCTGAAAAAAAGCGGGGGGGTTGGGGGGGGCGCAGCCCCCCCCATTTGCAAACACAATGCTCACACGATGTTTTTCAACTAGTTTCTTGGGCTTTGAACGGCTTAAAAGAAGCGGGGGGGGTTGGGGGGTCTGCGCCCCCCATTTGCAAACACCCTGCTCACATGATGGGTGTCAACAAGTTTCTTGGGCTTTGAAGCGCGCTCTGCACGGCTTAAAAAAAGCGGGGGGGGGTTGGGGGGGGGCAACCCCCCCCATTTGCAAACACAATGCTCATACGATGTTTTTCAACTAGTTTCTTGGGCTTTGAAGCACGCTTGGTGGCGGCTTAAAGAAAGCGGGGGGGGGTTGGGGGGGGGCGCAGGCCCCCCCCCATTGCAAACACCCTGCTCACATGATGGGTGTCAACAAAGATTTCCTGGGGCTTTTTGAAGCACGCTCTGCACGGGCTTTTAAAAAAAAAAGCGGGGGGGTGGGGGGGGCGCAGCCCCCCCATTTGCAAACACAATGCACCACACGAGTTTTCAAACTAAGTTTCGTGGGCTGTTTTGAAGCACGCTTGGTACAGGGCTCTAAAGAAGCGGGGGGGGGTCTGGGGGGTTGTGGCCCCCCATGTTGCAAAACCTGCTCACATATGGTGTCAACAAGTTATTGCTTTTGGCTGAAAAAAGCGGGGGGGTTGGGGGGGGCGCAGCCCCCCCCATTAACAAACACAATGCACACACGATGTTTTTCAACTAGTTTCTTGGGCTTTGAAGCACGCTTGGTACAGCTTAAACGAAGCGGGGGGGTTGGGGGGGCTGTGCCCCCCATTTGCAAACACCCTGCTCACATGATGGGTTTCAACTACTTTCTTGCGCGTTGGCTGCAAAAAAGCGGGGGGGTTAGGGGGGGCGCAGCCACCCCCATTTGCAATGTTCACACGATGTTCTTCAACTAGTTTCTTGGGCTGCCCTTGGGCTTTGAAGCACGCTTGGTACGGCTTAAAAGAAGCGGGGGGGGTTGGGGGGGGGCGCAGCCCCTCCCATTTGCAAACACCCTGCTCACATGATGGGTGTCAACAAGTTTCTTGGGCTTTGAAGCGCGCTCTGCACGGCTTAAAAAAAGCGGGGGGGTTGGGGGGGGCGCAGCCCCCCCCATTTGCAAACACAATGCTCACACGATGCTTTTCAACTAGTTTCTTGGGCTTTGAAGCACGCTTGGTACGGCTTAAAAGAAGCGGGGGTTGGGGGGGCTGTGCCCCCCATCTGCAAACACCCTGCTCACATGATGGGTGTCAACAAGTTTCTTGGGCTTTGAAGCACGCTCAGCACGGCTAAAAAAAAGCGCGGGGGGGGTTGGGGGGGGCGCAGCCGCCCCCATTTGCAAACACAATGCTCACACGATGTTTTTCAACTAGTTTCTTGGGCTTCGAAGCACGCTTCCTTTCTTCCTTCCTTGCTTCCTTCCTTTCTTCCTTCCTTTCTTCCTTCCTTGCTTCCTTCCTTTCTTCCTTCCCTCCTTTCTTCCTTCCTTCCTTCCTTCCTTCCTTGTTTTCTTCCTTTCTTTCATCCTTCCTTCCTTCCTTTCTTTCCTTCTTTCCTTCTAAAACGTACCAGAAATAACGCTTTCCTATGAAACCACAGAGAAATTACTGTTTTTCGTACCAAAAACCACGAAAATGCATCAAATCCTTTAAAAATATGGAGGGAATGGTGGTTTTCTTAGGAAAAACCAAGAAAATCGACCAACAAAAAAAAAAAAGGCCCAAAAAAAAAAAAAAAAGACCCCAAAAAATAGGCCCTCCGTAAAAAAACCTGAAGCTGGCCCCAAACGCGAAACCCGCCGGTGCTGCACTGGTAACTGAATTCTTGGGACGAGGCGCCGGAGGGGGTCATTGATGTTTGTGATGTTGTGGTAGTGGAAGTGGCGAGGGCTGAAGTGGTAGTGGCAGGGGCTGAAGTGGTAGCGGCAGGGGCTGACATGGTAGTGGCAGGGGCTGACGTGGTAGTGGCAGGGGTTGACGTGGTAGTGGCAGGGGCTGAAGTGGTAGGAGCTGAAGTGGTAGTGGTAGGGGCCGAAGTCGTACTGTTCATTGATGTGTTCCTAGACCCAAGGGTAACCTAGGAACAAAAAGGGCCCTCTTTTTAGCTTGAAAAACCTCCAAAAAAGGAATAAGCGCCTAATCTGGGTCCTAGGTTCATACCAGCCAGCAACCACAGTTCATCCCCCAGACTGCTGTGCATCCACCCACCAAACATGTACAGCTCCCTGGCAGTCGGATTCCAGGCGAGTGCATGGTCGAAGCGTGCTGTGGGTCCGACTTCTGTGTACTCCGTCCAGCTGTTGGTGCTGTTGGAGTACAAGAAGATGGAGTCAAGGTAGATGTTGGTCACATTCCAATATTGCCCGCCGAATCCTAGAATGGAGCGGGTAGCTGCGTCCCACACAGCGGCACCGTCAAGTCGTTGGGTGAAGCTGCCTGACTCTATGAGCTCTGTCCATGCGCCGCCAGAGTAGCTCCACAAGTCATTGTACCTGCTGTCGTACATATCAGTGTATGCACTATAGACACCAGTGTCTCCTTGCCCACAGCATATGAGCATCGCTGCAGATGACGTGTCCCAGACGGCTATATGCCCTACTCGTGCTCGGGGAGCCGCTCCGCCGGGCGTGACATCGCTCCATATGTCAGAGTCAGGGAGGTACTCCAACCTTGGGAACCAAATGAACCCTAGAAGGGTGTATGGCTCATAGTCATATACCTTCATAGGAGTTTATACACCCCCAAATTTTGGGGTTCATATTTGGCCCCCAAGGAACAAGTCACCGAGCTTGGTGTTGCCATCGTCCGCGCCACCGAAGACGAGCATCCGGCCCAAGTTGCTGTCCCACACAGCCGTGTGTCTCGCGCGAGCGAATGCCGCACCCGACAGCTGAACCCACGAGTCTGTCGCCAGCGTGTATCCTTCGCCAAAAGGGGGTTCCCGAATATAGGGGTACCTTATTGGGGTTCTTATTATAAAGGGACTCCTACTATTTGGGGAACTATATTGGGGGGTTGCTTATTTCGTAAGCCCTCACAGAGCTTTTGCAGGTGTTCTGCCTGAAAACAGCTGCTTGCAAATAGTAAGAAACAGGGAACCGCAGTGGTTCTTGGTACGGAGCTCACTAGGGAACTAGGTACCCAATATATCCCAATATACTCCGCAAAGGTTATACAGAGGAATGTGAGGTACTCAATACCCTCTAGCAAGAACTGGTATCAAGTATGTGACAGTGCACCCTATGCACCCTAAAACCTGAACCCTAGGGCTTAGGGCTTAGGGTTTAGGGTTTAGGGTTTAGGGTGAAAGAAAGTGAAGGCCCAGGTGTCGAAAGAGATCATCGAAGGAGCTGTTGGCAGTGGACTGATGGGTGGCCCTCTTCAAGCCTCCGAAGATGTACATAACTCTCGCACCTCAGGCACTAGCAGTACCAGCAAGTATAATCCCTGTTTTAAGGACCGTTAGTATAATGGGGAACATCTCAAAGTTCAGGGGTTCAGGGTATAGGGTTTAGGGGATCCAAGAGTTTAGGGCTAAGGGCTTAGGGTCTAGTGGTTCGGGGTGCAGGCCCTTAGGGTTTAGGGATTAGGGTTTAGGGTTTTAGGGCGAGGTTTTGAAGCCGCAAATTTCCAGAAGCCTGAGAGAGAACAGCACCCTGGACGTTTCTTCATTCCACTGAGAACCATTGCTGAACAGCACGTTTGTTCAAATTTCCTTGGGTTTTCATACGCAAACAGAACACCCTAAACCCTAAACCCTAAACCCTAAACCCCTCAAAGGAGACGATAGTTGGGAGCATACGACGAGCTAGCATGTATCAGCTTCCATGCTGATCATCATGGCAGCCCCCCACTCCAGGTTTAGGATTAAACCCTAAACCCTAAACCCTAAACCCTAAACCCTAAACCCTAAACCCTAAACCCTAAACCCTAAACCCTAAACCCTAAACCCTAAACCCTAAGTTCAGTCTTACACGACAAGCCAGAATGGGAGACTGGCACGACGGTAAGTCAGGATAACATCTTAGCTCAAGAACGCGGACGAATGCGACGTGTTGGGTCCTCTTTGCGGTGCTGCACACGATCCTCTATAAGCAGGCAATTATAGAGCTCCGAACAAGAGAGGTTCCGACAGTAATAAGTACCTAGTGGGTACATGGTAATGTGCAGAAGAACTACAGAAACAAACCTTGCCATGGTAGTAACGAT